AGAGAGAGAGAGATGTTTAAGGGATGAAAATGAAAATTTGAAACAGGATGAATAGTACCATCAAAGACAAGTATAACAGTATAAAAGCATAAAACCCCAAACACTATATACAAACCTGGCCACCATGAGGAGTCGCCATTGTTTATCATAGCAAAAAGGAAAACCAATAGAAGGTGAAAATCACAATGCTTTAATCAACCCACAAGTTATTACCCTTAAAACTAAAATAAAGGATCATTTAGGAAGCAAACCCAAATAAATACAACCTATATCTACATTGAGGGCATCCCGAAACCCATAGAAACATGAATCAATTTTATTTTTAAAAATTGAAAGTTAACCACATAAACATGAATCCCATGAAACTCACACCCATAAAACCACACAAGTATATTAATTTAGAAACTTTCATACAAGGATAGTGTTTGAAAGGAAATAACTTTTTTCTTTCCTTTCAAACACCGTTCTTGTATGAAAGTTTCTAAAAAGCCAAAATTGATTCAAGCTAAACACAATCTTATGCAACCTATTTAGATATCTACAGAATTCGAAACGATAGCAAAAAAATGGAGGTCCAGAAGCTTGGACGGAGCAAAGAAACAAATCAAATTGAAGCACAAGAAACACAATCTGCAGAACAAAGAAGCTAAAAAAAACACACTAACACCATCAGATACAACATATTTGCTGAAAAAATTCACAATGAACATATACTGGACCAATTTAAAGAAAACCCAAATCTGAGTCGCCATGAAAGCACAGACCTCGTGGTTTCCATCTACAAAGCCCAGTTGGGGACCACAGCAAAATCAACAACATGTAGAAACTACAGAAACCCATCAAGCAAAATCCAAATAGATACCACAGTGAACGATACAATAGCAAAAAAAAATCATGACTTTCCACAAATGAAGAAAAACCCAAATCATGGAATAACAGTTGAAATAGAGAGAATAAAAGGAAATATCCAAACCCAAACATAAAGAGAGAGAGAGAGAGGGGAGAGAGTGACAATGAACTAACCAGGCCACATGGAGCTGAACTCAGAGAACCAACCAGGGAGGACCGAGGAAATACATTCAGGGGTTTTTTTGTTCCCATCAGCTTCCATGTCCCCAAACCTGCAAGAAGAATGGCTTCCATTCTTCTCACCAGAAACAATAACCTTCTCTTCAGCCATCTCTCTCCCTCTCTCTCTACAAAAACTCTCTTTTTTTTTTGGTAATTCAGTGGGGAAGACAGACTCCCTACCCTTTGAAAAGCAAGCAAAACTGAAGACTCTCTCTTCCAGTCGCTGGGCCTGGGCGCAGCCTCTCCAATTTATTAATTAATCTGTCTCTCTCTCCCTCTCTAATTTATTAATTAATCTCTCTCTCTCTCTCTCTGCAATTTTCTCTGTATCGCATATATTTATATCCTCTCTCTTCTTTTGGGAAGAGAGAGAAAAAGGATTCCTCAAGTCAAAAAGAGCGGGCTCGAGGCCATTAACTGGCACTCACTATAAAGTTCGAAGAATCCATTTTCTCAACTTGACCCTTTAAAATGACAAATAGGGAAACCATGGGGTTCTTGCTCTTTATTCTTGTATTTTTTGCTAGGTGTTTGGTGAAAATTCTACCCTGTTTTTAATAAAATTAACTGTGTTTTGGGTGTAAAAACATCATCTTAGATAGTAAAAATTATAATAAAAATCCTACTGTATAATTTTATGCATTTATAACTATGTTTGGTGCGAATAAGTCGGTGCTTTGTGCAAATGTCAATTCCAAACCTGGTTAGGCTGATAATGGGGTTGGATTCGAGTTCGTGATGGTAGCACATATGCCCCAATTAAAGTTTAGACTTTCACTCTCACGTAATATCTCGGGTTATGAAGATAGTCATGGTAGCCCTACATCTGGCCACACCTTGTGGCCGAGGCTCTATCTTTTTAGGGGTTGTGTGTATTTTTGCATCCCTAGAAATATAAATATGAGTTCATGATTATATTCTATTTAAATAATTTACTTCATTTCAGATTAATTGCTGTAAAAACATAACATAAAAAACAACTCACTATTTCTAACTCATCAATGAGAATTGGTGCTCTTTTTACGTGGTTTGGGTTTATGAAAAGAAAAGTATATAATGAGATTATTTATCTTTTGTACAAAGTGGTCACAATTAATTATTTACCTTTGGATGTGTACTTGGGTGGTTCCATTTATTCTATTGACCGAGCACTAAGTTCAAATGGAATTTTATTGAGCTTTGTGATACAATCAAACTACCAAATTTCATATGAGATGGTTATAAGCAATTATGACCTCCTTGTACTATATAGGTGAATGGTCTCATTGTATGCAACCCAAGTAACTAACAAGCAGTTGTGAACTTTGTGACACTCTAAATTTGAACTTAATTTAATATCTGAATTGCAAAAATTATGGACAAAAATAATATAATGCACCTTGAATTTTGCAAAAAAATGCAACCCAAGTAACGCACAAGTATATATTTAGTTCCGGAGATTTATCTTGATAACTAAGGATAATTTAGCTTACAAGTTTTTATGCTTGTTAAGATAAGGCTCTAATGATGATTGTATTCTTATAGCTCAAAAAAAGCAATTAAACATTTGTTTTTAAAAGTTTCTCTATTTCTAAATCAGGATTTGCAATTTAGATCTTAGTTCTACACTGCTACAAGTTTTTTATCCCTAACCATTGAATCAAGAGACATAACCCATATTTTCTTTTGGTTTGCACATTATTTACATGTAATTTTCAGGAGCATCAACAAATGAATCTTCTTAGATTTATGAGGAAAATCCTAGCTAGGGTGCGGCTGCCCTTGTTGTGAATATAAGAGGCTAATAAGCCACAAAACAAGATATACATTTGGGCTATTTTAGTCATTAACTAGGGACTCCAGGCTTTTAGTTTAGCCCAACAATGTGCATGTGTTTTGTATAAACAATGTAAATGTAATAGTTTAGTTTCCTACTCTCAAATGCATAAAGAAATGGCTAATTATAGGGAGTCCTACAAGGGGTCCGGATACTGGGTAAGAGACGCGATACATCAACCTTGACATTAATTCAAATGACTTTGGGAAAATTGCTCTCATTTGTGACCATTATATATATGTAAATAAATGATGCAAACACCTCCATTTTAAACGATTCCAACTATACATTCATATCTGTCCACTACAAGTCTTAGTATTTATAGTTTGTTTTTCTCAACTTGCTTTGTTAGCTCTCTTTCTTTTTTGTTTTTGATAGGTTAAAAGTGAAATGGACAAGTATCATCATCATTGAAGCATTATTTCAACTATTTGGAGTTGGCTACATAACTCATGTTTTGTCATTCTACTCTATAAAAAAACATACCCTCACTTAGACTATAAATCACAATGTCTCTTCTCGTTGCTACATCTATCCATGTCCTTTTGGATCTGTCTTTTGCCCTTTTAAAGCCTTCCACTTGAACCAAATCACCCTTCCTAATTAGTGTTGTTCCAGGTCAACGCTGCAAATGGCCAAACCACCTAAGTTACTTTCCCTCACCCAATCGCCTATTGGAGCTATCCCAAAGTTCCCTCGACTATATTCATTCTTAATTTTATCCTACGTTGTTATTCATCCATCTCAACATTATCATCTCAGATTCTTGTTATTCCTTGATTGTCTAACATCCCTCATACAACACCACTAGTCTTACAACCATCCTATAAAACTTTTCCTTTAATTTCATCAGTATGTGGCGATCACATAAGAAACAAAAGTGGGTGATTCAGGTTCTCACTAACCACACTCAAAATAATAAAAAAAAAAAGGTTTTTGGGGTTATGTAGAAAAATCAGTCCTCTTAAACACCAAATTTCATATATGGTGACTCTAGTGACTGGGTTATGTTAGAGTGCTCACACTATGAAATAATTTAGCATGGTACTCAACAAATTTGGACACTTATATATTATTGTTTTGTAAATGGATATTGTTTTTAGTAAAAGTATTTTTTATCATTAGGAAGTGTGTGATGGCATCCACATGGGGTGTAATATCACCCACATGAAACATTAAATGCTACTAGTGTGCTGATGTCACACCTTATGTGAATGACGTAATATATCTTTTAATGACCAAAAATACCTTGATTAAAAAAATACGTCATATACAAAACACGAGTGTAGAAGTGTCAAAAAATTGTTGAATACATTGATAAATTACTCCATAGTGTGAGCACCCTAACATAACCCATGTGATTTAGACGACAAAGATAACCCAATCCTCATGAAAACCAAATAACAAGAGCAAATGTATCCATGTCACTCTTTGAATGTAATCTCCTTCATTTGCCTACCAAATTCAAACCAAAGAGGGAGGTTCACAATTCAAATTGGAACTCGATGTGGCCCATTCCAAGAAGGGTATTTTGGGCATTTTACAGAGAAAAGCTTGGAGCCAAGGCTATTATTGGGAAGAGGCCCTCTGCCAATAATGGGAGTCTTGGTGTAAAAAGTCGAAATTGCCCAAATCAAGCTATTCATGCAATCGTGTGAAATGATTTCTTGCTCATTTGATATGAATGCCTTCAAGCGCCATCATTTTGTGCATATTTCATGCTTCTTACTCCAATATTTACCTCAAAAAAACTAAGGTGGATGGCTTTATACATAGACTCATTGGTTATATAACCAACATTTTAATAAACATCTAAAAGTGAATAATAGATTAATAGAAGGAAGAAAGAGTGCCACCCATGTGGCTTTTGTCACGCTTCTAAGTTTTATAGTGGTTATTCAAAAAATTAAATAATAAATAAGATTTTTATAATACCTCCTCTTAGTTTTATAGTACTGCTTTTCTTTCTCATGAGTTCACCTATGTACATTTTAAACCATTGGAAAACTGTGGCGTTTAGATGTGCAGCTTTTGCAACTCCTAAAAACATTTAGGATATGGATTTTTTATTCAAAATTTGGAACTCAATTACTCAAGACCGTCGGGGTTATTCGAAAAATAAAATTTAAAAAATCGATGTTTTATTTCTGAATAAAAAATCATCAGATCTGCATTGGTTCTAGAACTTTGAATTAATTCATGAATATTAGGCATTAACACATGTTACAGCGACTTTTAGGGCAATGGTTGCATAAAAACAATTAGGACCAGTCTAATGAGACAACCGACAACGATTCTGCTTTTAAATAAACAGTTAGATATAAGTGATAGATTCAGCCACTCACCTTTTATTTATCTACCTATGTTTGTGATTTGGGACCGTAGGATTTAGTATTACACAATATTTAGATGGATTATTAAGAAAAAATGAGTGGCCGGATTAATCTTAGGGTTAATGGATGCTTTTGACATATTGCATATAGAAAATTTTACAGTAAATTTTTTAATTACTGGTGCAAAGAGGTTACAAGTCATTATTGGCTTTTAGATTTGAAATCGGGAGATTGGGGGTGTGAGATTGACCATGCTCAGAGTTTAGATGAAATTATTGTGTTCTTGACACTCTGAGCTATTGGATTTGACAATTAATGGTTAAAGTTGACAGTGACCTCTTTGTATAATAAATACATGGTTTTACATTAGACAACTTGAATATGTTTAGAGATAGTATAAGATGGAATTGAAATAAGGCCTCATGTGATATAGTCAGAGTATATAATATTTTTTTTCATTTTTTTTTCTTTTTTTCACGGTCTAGATCATAACCTTTCTTTCAATGACAAATAAAAAACACAACCTATGCTTGTTGAGAATAAAAGACACAATAAATAAATACGGAATAAACAAAAGAAAATGCCAAATATTACATCAACCGAACTTAGTACACTGCATGCCGAGACTCCTCCTTTCGATGGTATTCAACTCGGGATCATTGATCGATCTATTGATTTCTCATTCTTATGGCAAAACCTAAACCATGCACATGGATCCCAATATAGAACCACCCACCTAAAGCTTCAATGTTTAGCCTAATTCAAACCCCTTGACTTGATGCTTATGAGAGATGAGAGCTAAAAAATGAGAGAGAAAACTACTAGCTAGGGGTGATCCATTTGTTAGAACCCATGTGTGAGAGAGAGAGAGAGTGCGAGTCAAGCTAACCTAGCCTAGCTTGGGCGTACCTCCTTAGAGCCTACGAGAGTGATAGACTTGCTAGGTTGCATCATGCCCTTAAGATAGTTTGCATGTGTGAGAGAGAGGTAGGGTAGGGTGGAGCATGGCCTCTTAGTTTTTTTGGAGAGAGAGACAACTTATGTAGGGTGTGCCCCTTAGAGAGCCTAGAGAGAGATATACTATTTTAGAGAGAGAAGAGAAAATAAGTAAGAGGTGTAGAGACAAGAGAGGAGGATAATATTTTTTATAGATTTTTCATGCATTAGAGTTTGCCGTAAAATCATATGACCAAATATTGACCATCGATTTAAGGAAATCTGTGGGATGAGAGATGCGAGCCATCCATTTTTTATATCCACCATCCAAGATGCTAGTGATTGTACTAGAACCTTATCATCCC